CAATTATGCTGAGAAATCTATCAATACTATGGCTGTAACTGCTCACAGGAGTTCTGATGTCCATGCTCATAATTAATTAAAAATTATCACAATTTTGTTGGACAATTATTGTAATCAGGAAAGAAAGTGAGGTGCTCTTCTTTTTATAAACACAGCCATGATGAGTATGTGAGCAGAGTTCACAGCTGCAGGGCACTGGGAGAGGAAGGAGGCGTACAAATGGCTGGAAAACTTGGAAGCACACGGGGCATAGCTTCGCTCCGCAAAGCAAGTGAAAGCTTGCTATGAAGGAAAACAAGTGATGTTTTGGAGAGAGAGAGAGAGATGCCTGCACTGGCTCAAACCTGCACCCTACATCCAGATAGGAGGGGATGAGCTCATATGGGAAAAAAAAACAACAACAAAAAAACAAAAACAAAGTTGCACCTACTGTGTCAGAGGTACACAATTAAGCCTCCAGGTGCATGTCAAAGACCAAGCTACTGTAGTGCTTTAAGAGAGGTTCTAGGAGTCTGAATATTCTGCTCTAACTCTGCCAAAAATGTGCCACTTGTCTTCCTACTCCACATCAATAATTCAAACATCTGTGCTGCTAACATGGCATCGACTGATTTGTCTTCTTTACACATTTATTTCCTGAAAATTGACTTTTGGCAGCTTTGTGATTATCACATGGATGTAGAGAGTAGATCAGAACATCTGGCGTGGTTTCAAACAGCTTTAGTTTGAAGCATGTGAAACAGTGACGAGCAAATAAAATGTAGCAGAACAAGACAGTTGGTTGTCTGTGTTCTTTCCACGTGTGACTTAAGTTTGTGCAAACTGCCATATCCCATCTTGGAACATGGTGGTGTTGAAACTCTGTAGTGTCACTCATTCAATGAGGAGTGAGAGCAGACAGCTCTCTCTAGAGGGGAAGAGCTTTCTAAACTACAAAAGAAGGTCAGACACCTTTGATTTCTCAGACTGAAAAAGAAAGAAATAGTTATTGTTTTATGTGTATGTAGTTAGTATTGGAACCTTTAATTCTACAACGAGGTGGCTTCATTAATTGACCAAACACTGGCTTTTTTAACTCAGGTGGAGGTTTTCCACAGTGATTTCCTTCTAATTCATCCCTCCGACTCAGCCACCTAGATGTGATATTTATGCTTTTGAGCCACACCGTGCAGTGAGAATTTCAGCCAATAGCTGCACCCACCTGCAGTGTAGATGAATATGTAAATTTGAAAAGTAGGTCAGAGATCAAATTTCATCAGGTAAAATCACTGCTGAAATATCCTTTTGCCAAGCAGGGCTTTTTAGTCAATCTGATTCTAGCGTGACCTTCTGCATGACTGCCGTCATTCAGGTTTAGCTGATAAAAGTATCCAGTCACCATTCATTCATCAGCAGACGTATAAAGACAAGAGGCGCAAGCCAGTAATTTAATTAATGCTGTCTGATTAAGGTAGTCTTCTGAGCCTTGGAAACATTCAAACAGAGGTTAAACATACCGGACTTAACACTTGGAAATAGCTACACAATGACAATGCCCATCATATCATAGAAAGCCAAATGGCAGGCTTAGTGTTTCGGAAGGCCTAGTGTTATTAAAACTCTAAACATGCTAGAGCTTAATTTTGTTTTCATTACTTTGGTTTGCTTATTTTAATTAGTGGCCTTAATCTGCAATTAGCCCAGAGGTCAACTATACTCTTAGCTTAAAAAAAAGGAATTGTTTTGTGGAGAGGGAGGGATAGGGAGAGAGAGAGAGAGAGAGAGAGAGAGAGAGAGAGACAGAGAGAAATTGTTTGGATGTTTGGACATGTATTTAATTAGACTGTTAACCCATGAAATGTCAGTGTCACTCACTCTTATGTCGTCTTATTAGAACGATAAAAGAGAAATAGTGCAGACATGACATGATAGATGTTTGTGACTTAATATTAATTTAACTGCTATTAAGAAGAAAGATAGTCTGAGAGGATCAACACTGATACTCTGGCAGGGTCAATGAAGAACACAGTGGCCTCTTAAATAATTGAACAACATATTCCAATGAAACCTGTATAAAAAAAAGACTTATAGCTATATTTTCTGTCATTACACTGTGTGATATCATAAATGGTTTATTTACTTTAAAATACAGATGCCACATTTCTGACACCTGCAGAATCTGCTAGGAGAACCTTTGAAAAGTTGAGAGGGTGATTCTTCAAGTTAAACAGATGTATGAACACATGTCCATACAGTTTAACATGTTAAATGTAGTACATTTCTTGTTTCTCACTGTGTAATTATCCTCTCTTGTTTGAGTTTCAATGTCAGCTAACGTCTTCATCTTAATTCAGAATTTGACACACCGAGCCTTCATCAAAGTGTGCTCGGGGGCACTTGGTGAATAAAGTCTGATGTGTGACAGTAGAGCATGAATGATACAGTAGATTGGGATATGGTGCAAATGGTTCTCTTTTTTCCTTCACAGAGGGAGAATTGCACCAGGGTGGAGAGGAGGCAGTGAAGAGTGGCCACCAGCTGGCTCAGGCTCTGCCTGCTGTGGCCATATCAGCCGCTCCAATGGACAACTTTAATTCATTTATTCAGCCCCCTTATCTTTGTAAATGAGCACATGTGTCACCAGTCACCATGTTGGAAGAGTGACCAGGCAACTTTCATGAAAAAATACAAACAAATTTACAAAATTTTGTGAGCTGATTCACTGACTATCAAAGCGACATGACATAAGGTACTGAAGTTAAGATTTGAAAGGCTATCTCACAGCCATTAGATGGTGTTGACAACCAAAGTTTCCTTTTGCTGCCTTAATGTCTGTGACATGTTTTGTTTATGCAAGTCTCATGCACAGCACTTTGAATGCTAAACAGCCACAATAAAACACAGGACCTTTCATGTGTGAGGTGATTGTGAGGCCAGAAAAGTCTGACACTATGGAGCCACATACTGGCCATAACTCGAACAGGGCTTCAAGAATTATGAAATATTTATAACTAAAGGGGGAGATCTCAAAGATTAACGCTTTGTGCAGACACAGGCTGCCCCATCACCTAGGCTAAACTAATTACTGCAGACAGATATTGAATTAAGACTTGTCAGAGAGATGTGGCATATGTGTCACAGAGCTGCTGCAAGAGAGGTTTTATGTCCTCTGGAGCTAGTTATCAACAGACTGATTACACCACATGCAACGTACGTAAATCTGAGAACTACATGCTACTTTATGGATTCTGATATTTCTCCTAACTCTCAGGGTCATGAAATCCTTTTAAAACATATTAATTATTTCAAAACTGTACTGTCATCGCTCTCGCAACAGGCTATTTTGAGATAATGGTCTTCACTGAACACTGTCTCTAAAAGTCTGATCTCAAAGTATTCACTTGGCATCCTGCTGATGCTTTTGAACAGTGTCCAAAAAATTGTCCATGTCTTACTTATTATAATCCATGCCATTTCCAAGAAAGGTCTGTGATATGTCGCAGTTAGGCTGGGTTCGATACAGAACCTCAATTTTTTTGCTCAGAAGGCATAAGTAATGTGTGAGAGTTTAAAGCCTTTACAGTTATTTCCATTGCATTTTGAGACAATTTCTATTTCCCTGGTAAAGTAAAAAAGAGTCTCTGCTCTTCCTAGAGGATTATGTAAAATAACATATTAAACTGAAATCATCAGCAGTTTTCAGAAACCAATTTATAGACCATTAAAAGTCATTAAAGGAGTCTACAAAAGATATCTGCACGATTCTGCTCTGTGATACGGATCCATAACAAAGAATGACTAACTAGTCAATGACAGGAACAGCTCTGTAGCTCTGGGAGCTTCAGATAAGTCTGGGCAGCGGGCAAATACTGCCTCAACACCTGACCGACTACAGCATTGTCCCACCCAAAGTGTCGCTCCGGTGCTCAAGCTGCGGTGACTTTGTCTGACAGCAGAGGAAAGTCTTCCTAATCAATTCACTCAGTGTGGATAATAAACCACATACCCCTACTGTCTCGCTTTAAAATTTGGCGGCTATGACATGCCTTATCAATCATTGTGAATATCTCCTTTGTTCTGTAACATAAAGACACTGCCAGTTGTCAAAGCACTTTTCATCCTTGAACCCATGTCTCAGTAGAGCTATAAATAACTGGCCTCTAAAACTCCACTCAGGCCCAGCTCATTAGAGCCAGGCATTACACAGAAATAATGGCCACAAGACTTGGTTTTATAACAAAGCCAGAATGAAAGCTGCTTTAACACAGAGTGGTGGAAATACAGTACACACATTGCTGGACTCAAAGTTGTTGTAAAAAAAAAAAAAAGAAAAAAGAAAAAAGAAAAGAGAATTAAATTGTAAAAACTGTGCATGAAATAAAATATTCCATTTCTTTAAAACTTGAATTAGAAAACTTACATGATTAACTTTTAGGATATGACTCAGTAACTGGGCCAGGAGGAATCTTTTTTTCTTTCACTCTTCGCCCCCCTCCGTCTCTGTAGCTGAGTGCCTGATAAGCTTTGCCAAAAGTGAGATTTAGCACAGGGCATCTATGCAGAAACCTCCATGAATAACAGTCAAGTAAATGCGCACTTTTAAAAAGAGAGGGAATGGCAATAATTGTCCGGCACCCATTCCTGCTCATACTTACGAGTGGTGATTTCCATGTGGTCATGACAGCTAAAGCCCAGTATCATTCATTAATGCCTTGGCTCCTCATTACTGTCTCCTCACACTTTTGAAAGACTCATTACCTGCATAATGGAATAGTGCTTAGAACAGTCAGACCTTTCCTTAGTGTGAATTAATCACCTACATGCACAGACAAAAAGGGAATTCTCACATTAAATATTAAGAAACTTCAAGCTCTAGCTTTCTACTTTTTCAAACTTCTAGAAGGTGCACAGTCAGGGACATGACACTGGTATCATTGAAGACTGCCCTAGTGTCTTTCATGTGTCTGTAAGGCCAGTGCGGGGAAAAAAGGAAGCAAGGAAGGAGAAAGAGATATACTTACAGTTGACTGTGACTTTTACTGTTTTGGTGTCAGGAGAGGCGATGTCATTTAAAGCGCTGCATTCGTAGTCTCCAGCCTGGTCCCTTGTGATGCCGGTGATGTTAAGATATTCGCCACTGTCATATTTCCTGGCTGGAAATAGAAAAATGGAGGCAAAGCACTTACACCATGTCTACAAAGAATACAAACACAGTGCACAAACACACACACACATACACACACTCAGTCTATAGTGCTAGGCTTTCTGTAGCCTATGGTTAGTGTGTGGAAAGCCCTCATTTGTAGTAAAAGGCTTTCTAGTCTAAACCTGAGTAGAAGATGCAATGCGATTAGGTATTGTACTGAATTCCTGATTACCTTCCTTGCATCCTAATATAGCAGTGGATTAGCAGTGCATCGATCCATTCAGTCCGATACGGTGGCAGAAAATAAAATAATGGTGTATTTCCTGTCATCCACTCATCATTTGCTCAACTCCACTCCAGTTAGAGCTACTTCCTGGAAGACAGACAAATTTGATGGCTCAATGCACATGTCAGTGCTTTACAGTTAGCTAACGGTGCCAAAGGCAGGAGCGGCATTGCACCATGACTGGCATATTGGCAGGGGCGTAGTACACCCAAAAAGTTGGAGAAAGCACAAATGCACACAAATCCACTGCACAGAAATGTTTAAAAAAAAAAAAACATAGTAAAAGGTGTCACGAGAGCATTCTAGCTCACACTGCAAATATATTACTATAAGGAATTGAATGTATAATAATGTGAGGAAGCATTAATGAGATACAGTATGGTATCCAGTATAATTCAACGAAAATGATAAGACATAAATATAAATGTGACCTGAATTTAAGTGAAGTATAAACTAGGGGTGCATGATTCAGAAAATCTAAGGATTCGATTCGATTCGATTTCAATTCTTGAGCTCACGATTCGATTCGATTTTGATTCAAAATCGATGGTCATAGGTCATATAGTAGATATGATGGTGTATATTTCATATATGTATGATGGTCAGAGGTATACTGCTATTTGTTGAAGTACTGGAGCGCACCTATGACATGTATGACAAGCATGTATGGGCACCATTATGTTGCGGCTCATTTCTAAGGTTAAGTCACCACTATTCCTACGATGACCAGATACAATATATCAGTCAACTATGATCACATAATCAAATGATAGACTGACTTAATGAACAGTTTCATCATGTTGAGAATATGACGCAGCATCAGACAAACATCAGGCTCAGTAATATCAGACCATACTACCGTAATCAGCGTGGCATTAAGCAGCAGGTCAGTGAACGAAGTCAGTTAGTGTTTTGAATTAATTTACTTACTTGTGTCGAGCAAGTGAAGCCATAAACATCCATTCAGAGGCAATGTTACAGTGCAGGCAGAGGTCAAGCTAAGCTAACAGGCTAGGCTATGAAAACGTAGCTAAGCTAGCTTTCATTTCCAGCAGCGCAATATTTTCGAGTTTAATAGGCTGACTTTGTCATGAGTCTTCACTAATAAACGATTTAATTCAGTGTGCAACTCGGACTCTACCGGCAGCTACCGGTAACTATTAAGGTGGAATGTTTTCTTGCGTGTTACTCAGTGCATGATTGACGTTTGGAAATCAATCGATACACCTTAAATGTCAATATGACAACTTTAACCATTTCATTTGTTTTTATTGGCTCTCCACACGACATATGATCAGATCTTCGAGCTCTTAAAAATGAATATAAAACTGCAGATAACATGGCTTCGACTGAGCGGCTTCCTCAACCGTTAAAAAATCTGAAATGTGTCAAAACGCAATGAAGATGGGACTGAATTACTTTTTCCTTTATGTTTTCCATCGCTCACACTGAGCTTTGCTCTCACTCAAGCCACGGAATACCTGGGCAGAAAACGACATGGTGCCATCTATAGGACTGGCGAGCTAAAGTCATGTCAGGAAAAAATGTAAATGCTGTTACAAGACAGAAAAATATGTATTGATTTTTTTTGGAATTTACGAATCGATTTTGAATTTGTAGACAGAATTGCGATTCTATTGTGAATCGATTTTTTTGCACACCCCTAGTATAAACTATTGTTTTATATCTGATAGATGCACATGGCACAATTTTATCCAATGAAGTCTCAAGTGTCAATCAACAGTATCAGAGATCTGAGCATGGGTATGTCACTCATTGTATTGTTTAATATTAGTCTATTAGTTGATGATTGAAAGAAAATCAGTCAACAATTATTTTAATAATCAATCAATCAATCAATCAATCAATCAATCAATCAATCAATCAATCAATCAATCATTCATCAAGTACACCTGAATATGTATGAGGCTGTTGACTGTAAGAAATCATCTTGGTTTGTGGGAAATTATAACAAGGATTATTCACTATTTTACTGACATCTTATAGGAAATGATTAATCAATATTGAAAATAATTGTTAGTTGGTGCCCTTTTTGACATATTTAAACTGCAAGAGAAAATGAAATGATTTTGCCCTGGGCAGTGTTCGGTTATATTTCAGATTAAAGGCCAAGTCTTAGTAATGACAGCCACCTGCAGATGATTAAAAATATTAGGCATCTGTATTGATCATTGACATATTAATTATCATAATTTATTATTTCATGGATGAATGGATGGATGGATTTCTAACCCAGTGGTGCTCAGTGTGAAATCTATTTATTTACAGCTGTTCAGAGTGATAAAAGTGGTTTGGGATAGAAGATGTGCGGCTGGATTTGGAAGGCATGGGGATCAAACAGAGTGCACAATCAAGCACAACTGAGCTCAACATACTGTTCAGAAAGCCATAAACACCCGACACTGACTCAGCAATATCTCATAAAAGAGAGCAGCCAGAGTCAAGACAATCCATGCTTCAGGAGTGGAAATGCTGCCATTTTGTGCTGCCAATCTCCTCTGTAAGTGAGCTGAATTCTTATATAATGTCACTTTCTCTTTCTGAACCCTGGGGGCTTTTTATCTGCTAACTACGATGTCAAAAAAAAGAAAACTTGAAACTCAAGGTACTGTCGATAATGAGCTTTCCTGTCTCTTCTCAGACTGTTGTGGTGGCAACAATGGAGTCCGAGAGTCTTGGCAAAGATAGTGGTCGCTACGCAAACAACAGCAAAGGAATGAAAATGTTTGAAAAACTGATCCATAAACAAGCACCAGATGTGTCTCCAAAACAGACCCGCTAATATGCCAAAAGTGCACAGGGATGGAGACATAACACAAAGTGCTCTATTTTTGTGATGGTGCATGGCACATGGCTGGGCTTTGCACCAGTGTAGAAGCAGTTTTTATTGGGTGCACACTGTATTTTTTAAACTTAATCCCACTGATGTGGGAGGGGATGTTGAGTGCAGAGTGTGTCACTATAGTGATCAAATGGTGCAGTGCAAGTTTGATGTCAAAAATAGCAGGGATTTGAGCAGACTAGGTTAACATTCTCTACCTATATCTATGAATACCTAAGTTATGTGTATATGAACAGACATACCAGTGCTTTTTGTGAATAATATGCTGGGAAATTTGACTTGACCCAATATCTGCCACAATCTGCCACAATCTCAGGAATCTCTACAGGGCACCAGGGGTCAGCAGTTAGGTGCAGCAAAAGGACAGTTTTTCAGTCCTGAATATAATCAGAAAATAAATGAATACATTTAGATGAAATTTAACTTTAACGGACTGGTTGATGTGTGAAATATTCTTGCCATGGCTTCAGTCCAAGTGATTGCCTGTGCAGTAGCTGTGCTGAAACCTATAGCCTCAGTAATACACCTTGAATTAAAGTTATGACAGATGTAGTGGGATCACATATTATCTGTTCCACTGAATAAGTAGGTCTTCTGCTCAGCTAGGCTATCCAAGCCAGCACCTCTACCTTTTAAGTGACTTCACATCTGCCTCAAAACTGTGCGAAGGAGAGTGAAAAAATGACTTTTTTTTTAAAAGAATAGGTGTATATATCTAGTGTATTTATCTTACCAGACTTCTGTGTTTCTTACAACACTACTGCTTAGAAAATAATTTTTTTTAAAAACAACATAACAAAACAAAACAAAGCATAAAATGTAAAAAAACAAAACAAAACAATGTAATCTCACTGTCATTTTCTGTTTGAGAGAAGCACATTTCTTTGTGTAATAGTAAGTGGCACTGTGGAATCAAATGTGGAATCTTACCACCGATTGTGTTTCACAATGCACCACTGGTTCACAGAAAGAGAGCAGCATGTGTGCATGTGTGTGTCAGTGGGATCAACACGTCCATTGTACATGTCACAGTTAAAATTGGGTATTCATTTTAATGAATGTCTACATATTGCAAACACAGCTTTTATTGATTTTTGTGAACCATTAGTGGTTGCACTACTCTACTGTACATACACAGCAGGGTTATTCTGATAAAAGGACTGCAACTCTGTGTTGACATGGTTGACCTATACATTGCCCTGAATGCACAGCTCCATTGTATTTCACTGTGATGTGGAATTATATACTTAGTATGTGGAAATCCACTGTGTGCACTTGTGTCTTTTACTAGGGCAATGAAATCAAAAGCACTGACCCATGAGGCCAAGTGTGCCTGATGCTTCCAATACATTTACCAAATGGCTCGATCAAATGCTGAGGTTTCAAGAGAGAAGCACAGGAACTTGTTTTGTCACTTTCTGAGAAACACAAACAATCATTTATTTGCCACTTGGGAAGGTTGGTTGTGTAGGGCAAGGTAGAGCATAAAAATAAAACTCATACATGAAATAGATGGTTAAGACTCCTCTTCTATGAAGATGGTTGTGTGGCAATGTAAGAGCCACAGGATGAGAACAGAGACCGGCTTATGTGCCATTGACTGCAATTTTGCAAGGTGCCAACATGATTTCTAAGGCCTAGTTCACAGGTACACGTTTTTTTTCAAGTGTGGCTTTTTATGAGTTTTGACCTTTCGTCCACACATAAACTGCGCTTTAGGTCACTGAAAACAGACGTCTTGCAAAACTCCTTCAAGGATGAAGATGTTCAGAAACAATGTCTTCAGTGTTGAAGTGTAGAAAGGGAAATCTGAGTTTTTGGCTAGTGATGTTAGAATGTGCGCTGTTCTCTCCTTTGT